TTTACTTGGGCCATTATATTGATTGGTATTAACATCATCCATCCATCCATTCATCCATCCAACATCATACATGCAGGGTAACATGGATTAGTAGTTTAAAAAGTAAGTGAGTCGTTCTAATGTAGGAATTATCGAATAAGGCTGGCTGGTGACAGGACGATAATGTTCTCATTCTATTACAATAAGAGACATTAACCACTGTTCAGAGTTTTGTAACATATCGAATTCAACATACTTCATATAGTTCACAGAGTCTTTAAACAAAACACAAGATAACATTTAATTGAATATATCGCGGTAAGGTTATCCGCAGATATATAGCTATGTAGTTTTTCTTCGGAATAAATTCAAACAGACCGATGTTTATCTTTTTTGATTGATGATCGCTCCAAAAGTAAATTCTCGATTAAACATATCATTTACAATATATATTTTTAACATAAACATAGCGATGTTCCTCATGCGATCACGATTAGAGCTCAACAATCTACCATTTTACAATACAATAAAGATTTTCCAAATTATCATGGCTCTATCAACGTAAAGACATTTTAACGCACCGATAGGTACCACTACCAACGCCCTTTTTATTTAAGCCGTGAAGAATAGCACGACGGGAAGGACAGTCATAATACAATATAATTAGGACTTCAGCCTCATTTCATAGGGCGGTGGCATTTGCATTGTTATGTCTATGGACTTAGATGATCACTGAAGACTAGACCGTGACCTTGTCTACGTATCTAATGTAAAACAAAACATATCCTCCTGTTACATTACGAGTTAGATTTCGGTAGAAAACTAGATAAAACAGTCAAACTGTTATCTTCTGGTGTTCACGAACTATTTCATCGATAAAGGAATATGATGCTGTTCTAGCATATATGATGGTATGTGTCGGTTTAATAATGAAACCAACATTTTTATAAATCAGATAATTTTGTAATTAATTTTTTATATTAATGTCTGGCAGTCCAAATATTTGATTTCTTTTAATATTATTTAAATTCGATATCATTGGCGGTTTGTGACAAAGTTCTTATCATGATAAATCATTTATGCCGATAGCAGTTATCCTACGCTTAGCTTTGAACTAATCAATAAAAGTGGGATTTAAGTAAGAATTGCCGTTGTAACTATACTTGAGATCTTAGAACTTATATCTCAATGTGGGTGGCGCATTTACGCTGTGGATGTCTATGGGCTCCAGTAACCACTTAACACCAGGTGGGCTGTGAGCTCGTCCACCCATCTAAGCAATAAAAAAAAAAAAACATGTCCTCAACTCAACATTCCGAATATCGATTTAATTCACAATCACAATTTGTTGTATGATCATATTTTATATTAATTAAAACCGTAACGAGCGTCGACACGAGCGCATTTCGTATTCTCATCAATCAGAATCGGAAGCCGGCCCTAGGGGATACAGATCCTAGATTTAACGGCCGCCGAGACTGGAGCGAAATAAAAATCACATTTGCGATAATTGGTTACGGACCGGCGGGCTACGGCGCGCGGTTTTACATGCTCCATCAGTGCGGTGCCTCGTTCTGCCTCGATTCCCGCAGATTTACTTAGAGCACTAGGCCGCTCCGAGTGCTCCTTGGTTAAATCTGAACTTTTCTACTTTATCAGTCGAGCGTTTATTTCCGCTCTAGGCTCCGTGGTTTCAGTAGGATTACTTTGTTAATAGCTATTAGCTCGTAATGCAGTGTAGTGTGCTTCGTCAGCCGAGTTTCTGATCTAATAAGTGCATATAATTAAAACCACTTTAACGATTTAATTTAGCGTTTTTATTCTTGTCTAATATGGAATCATCTCTCGTCTAATTCGGAATTTTCGAATACTTACAGTTTTTGTAATTAAGCACGAGGTATTTTTTTTTCTCCTACCTAAACTGATAGCATTAGAGGCTATTTTAGCGTAACCTTAACTAGGCGAGCTCACGGGGCTCAAACCTGACGATGTTGCTAACACAAACCCTAGCAAGAGCTGTGTTCCGCAGAATCTACCACCGGATCGAAAACGCGACCCACTGAGAAGATCCGGCGAGAAACTCAGTGGGCTGTGTCTGAGGGTTAATTTACTCGTCGAGCCCTTCGTCGCAAGCGACGGGTTCGACGAGAACGATGACCGGACACGTATGTAGTTTCAATTATGTCTACCGCTCTCTACAGCCGAAGATCTAGACCCGAATCTAATGAGTACTAATTTACAATAACCTGAATTCGGTGTGTGTTAATATAGCTTCTATGCATGTTGTTTTCTTTTCAAAATGTCAAGTTCGTATTTAATTAGAAAAATTGGTACCTGCCTGCGGGGTTCGAACACTGGGTCAATCGCATCGATACGAATGCACCGGGCGTCTTATCGCGCAGGCCACGACGACTTAGACATTTTTGGCAGTCTCATCAGTCTACTTATTAACAGATCTAAATAACTTTATTTTTTTATATAGTTTTTACAAACGAATCGTCTACAATTATAACTACATCCGTAATTTTATGTAGTTACAGAAAAAAATATAATAAAGGCACAGGACGTCGTTCATTTAAAAAAAAATATATATTATTATGCAAATGATCGTTATTTCGAAACAATTTTTTTTCAACGAAACATGATTCTTCTTTCATATTATTACTTCAATTTATGACTATCAACAGTTATGTAGTTTAATCTATAAGAAACATAAATAAATTCAATAACTAATACGAAAAAAAAAAGAAATTTCGAACCATATGTAAAAAAATACAATCATGTATTTACATATTACAGAATCGCTTTTAAATTTTCACATATTCTGTAATGATGCACCGGATGGCCTCGAAAATCGAATGTCGGGCCCTTAAGTCAATTATTGGAAGCGAACCGTGCAAACTGCGAATAGACGGCGAACTCGAGTCGAGGGGTAATGGAATGTAACTAAAATTTACCAGCGCAGTTCCAATTACGTGGACTCTAGTGGAATGACGAGGATCTTTTGAGCGATACGGCTTTCGTCGTGCTCGTGCAGTGTACGTTGTGTTGTATACAGTGCACTTGTAGGTACTTTGTGGGGAGTACGCGAATGCTTGACGAGTTTTATAAACGTGTAAAGGCAAAGGATGTATTGTATAAAGGTACCTTGTTTACTGTTGTTGCGACACGCTATGTCATCATATCCCACCTTTAGAATTGGTTTAACTAATAAAAAATTTATAGAAATGTATTTTATACTTTGAAAGAATTTATTTATTTATTTTATTTATTTATTAGGCACATAATTCACATCACAAGCTAAAAAGATACAAAAAAAACACAAGTAAAAAGAAACAAAATCTAGCTTGCAACATAAGCCATGTATGTGCGCACGATGGGAGCAAGATTTTGTACACAATGTTCCTTCCATCTATCTATACGACTATAAAATTTATACTATTAATTTATAAAATAATTTAAAAAAAATTAAAAATGTAATTTAAATTTTAGTTAAAAAAGGACAAAGTACACTTTCCGTCATTTTGAAATCAAGCGCATACTTTAAACTTTAAGGTACCTATGCGTTTTAAGGATTAAAGTATTAAAATCAAAACTGAAAAATTATAATTCTTCAAATACACATTTTTGGCGTTTACCAAAAAAATTAGAATTTTGAATTAAGTCACGTCAATTCTAAAGGTGCGATATGATATAAAATTGTTTATCGACAACCCTATCGAGTTTCCGATCACAAATTGACACAGAGAGAGTTGACAATTATCTACATATTATAACCTTTTAGGGAATACATACTTTTTACTATTAACCATCATGTTTACATTTGCACGTTCGAAATAAAATGAGATTACTGCAGATTCTCGATGCAGCGACGAGATCAAGTATCTTTTTATCGATTAATATATATTTTTTTTGTTATTTCGGTGGGTACACCAAAATTATCATTGATATCAGAAATTTAGCTATCAATATCTTAGTAGGTTAATTATAGATTAGTTATTGTGTTTGAAAACGTGATTCAAGTTCTGCGACGTTGCAAGTAGATTTACTTACTTGCCTATTAGTTTCAAACCTAAGCGTCCTCTCTAAATTGCCCCGTAACATTATTAAGTGCAAATTTCTAAGATATTTAGTGCAACTTTGAACATGTGCAGTTTTTAATTTGCGTACATTTACGTGGTAGGGTTTTTTCATGAAACCGCCTATGACGTCATTCGACAGTGTCTAGACTTGCAAAATCATCCGACCAAAACTAATTAGGGCCTGTTAGTTAATCTCTGACGTAAAGCGATAATCCCCTAAATATTAATTATTATGAAACTTTATGGCCGCGTTAGTCAAATGTTAACAGATGTTACTATACTAGTTATACGTGCATATTCAGCCAATGTTGTATTACAAGGATTAAGAGCATAATTTGAAATGATTCTCCCTATCAATTGTTTTTAATTTAGTGTCAATAAATTCTGAAGGGTGGAGTAACAACTGAGACCTTACAACTTTTGCCTCAAGGTGGGTGGGGGCATTCACTTAGTAGATATCTATGGGCTCCAGTGACCACTTAACACCAGGTGAGCCCACCCATCTAAACAATAAACAAAAGGCTGTAGTTTTTCTTTGTTTACATGCTTAAAATAGGGAACAGGATAACTGTTTTTTTGTTTGCTACACCTTGTAAAACTCGAGCGAAAATTACTTCAGTAAGTGTTACGTCATATGGGGCTAAAATTACATGATGGGCTAACCGCAGAGTAATACGCAACTATTAGTTATTTATATATGACAACATGGTTCGTGATAGGTTTATATTGCCGTTAATTTTTTTAGTATCGCTCTTTTAATTTAAGTAAGGTCCTTTATATCGTCTTTTTTAAACTTTTGTGATTAATTTCTGGTTGCTTATTGTATTATTTATATTTTGAATTATTGATACTAATTAGAGACTAATAAAGTCATACGTCTTTTGTTTATTTGTGTTTAGGTAAACTCATTTACTTATAGAGTTTTATCGTTGTACTCACCATTACAATCGCTTTTTGATTAACGTCTTTGAGCAATCTTCAAATGTATTTTGCCATCTGTAACAAAGATATATATTAGGATTATATAGTGTAGGTATGTAGTTTGGTCGCCCATTGAGTGGTTAGTGTAGTGTTAAAGATGTGTAAGGGTCGTAAATGTTTGTTGTTGTCTTGTTGTGTAACACAGGAGAACGTTCTAACTTGGATACGTTGAGTATGAAGCGTTTAATTGGGAATTTCTAAAAAAGTATTAAAATTTTTGAATTTTTTTTATTGCATAGATGGGTGGACGAGCTCACGGCCTACCTGGTGTTAAGTGGTTACCGGAGTCTATAAACAACTACAACGTAAATACCGCCACCTACCTTGATATGAGGTCGAAGGTCTCAGTATAGTTAGTTACAACGGCTACCCCACCCTTCAAACCGAAACGCATTACTTCACGGCAGAAATAGGCAGGGCGGTGGTATCTACCCACCCGTGTAAACTCACAAGAGGTCCTATCACCAGTAATTACGCAAATTATGATTTTGCGGGTTTGATTTTTATTACAAGATGATATTCCTTCACCGTGGAAGTTAATCGTGAACATTTGTTAAGTACGTATTTCATTAGAAAAATTGGTACCCGCCTGGGATACATGAGATACATTGGTGCCCGCCGTACATAAATAAAAATACTATAGTAATATTATAGCACTACTTGAGAATGCCTGAACAGATATGGCTATTTCGATCTTAAAATATTCGGAATAGACCAAATGAAGATTTTATGCCTAATTAGAATAAGCTAATATTGCTAAAAATTATCATTGGAGTTTTTTATAAATCAGATTTAGGTCTACACCGTTCAATTGTTTGTTTGTTGGGTTTCTTGTGAAAGATTCCGTGTTAGATTTTCGAAAGAAAGCACTTCGTATACGTTTTAACTTAGCACACAGGTTCTTATTGTCTTCGGACAAAAATCTTCTTCTTCTTTTTCTCCACCTTATCCCACTAGGTGGGATCGGCACAGCTAATTTTTCTCTTCCATTCTCTTCTATCAGCCGTCATCTCAACACTCACTCCTCTCTCTCATATCGTCATTCACACACTCCATCCATGTCTTCTTCGGTCGACCTCTTCCCCCTCTACCTTGCACTACCATTTCCATACATCTCCTAGTCACATGCATCTTCTCTCTACGCATCACATGTCCATACCACGCTAACCGTCCGCTTCTTAATTTGTTGTCTTCGGACAAAAACATTAGGTATTTAATTAAAACTGCGACGAATGACTGTAGTCATCGGTGACCATGACAACTGTACTGTATACGAAGCGTCGGAAATAATAATACGATGACAATAAAAATGCGAGGTTAAGCCGTTAATTAAAAGTAGTTCTAATTATGTCTAAGACTCGTGAGCACCAAAGAAAACATTACATGTATTCAAAGTTTTTATTTTTATAAGCTTTTTATTCCATGCAAATAGTAGGTCGCATACATTATTTAAATATAAAGAAAAAAAGAGAAAGAGAAAGAGAAGAGTGTTCAAAATTAATTGGGTATTAATTTGGGAATTTCTTTAATAGCCTTTTTTGGTTTTGGCTAGGCCAAACTAAAGTGAATAATACGATCATGAATGAATTGAAATGTGTTCTTCTTTTGCAGGTTCAAATTGATGTACCAGGACCTCCACCGGCATATGAGACTCTGGCAGAAGGACAATCGCATCACAAGGACTGCGCTCATATCTTGCAGGTTCGTGAGCTTTTAAAATGCCTGTTTCTGCCGTAAACCAGTCATGCGTTTCGGTTTGAAGGGTGGGGCAGCTGTTGTAACTATACTGAGACCTTAGAACCCATATCTCAAAGTGGGTGGCGGCATTTACCTTATAGATGTCTATGGGCTCCGGTAACCACTTACGGCCTGTTGGGCTGTGCGCTCGTCCACCCAACTTGGCAATAAAAATAAAATAAAAAATAACTTTTATTTTCCACTATGTATTTCAAGGCTATTTTTCGTTTTTGATCCTTCACGTGTTACCCTAAAATCGAGGTTATATAAGTAGGTGGGTCTTCTTGAAAAAATGGGTAATCAAAGATTTGCTCAAAGTTTTAGTTGAGTTCCTTCTCGTTACTCGATATGTTCAACTTTGAACAAACACAACTGAACATAGTGATCAAAATGCTTTGAAAAGACATTCCCATTTTTTCCATAATCTACATTTACGTTGCACGACATTTTGAATCCTGCGTTCAAATTTTGAAAATATTTTTTTTATTTTTGTTTTTAGGAGACGGTTACAGAGCCGTGTCCGCGTTGCCAATCGAACCACGGGGACGCCGAGCTCCCGTCATACGAAGCAGCGTTAATGCTCCGCGACACCAAAATATAAGGCCTTATGTTCTATTAACTAGAGTTTAGTTTTGATGTTATAGTATTGTTTTAGCACTGTCTGTGTTTCTCTAAGTGGAAATTTCTTTAAAATGTATCGCTGTTTGAAAATGGCGCGGGTCGAAAAGTAGAAGCATTAGACATTACTTAAGTTCGCAAGTACTAAATGCACCTGCAAAGCAGAAATCTTAATAATTATATAATTTAAGTTTGATGCTCTATATAATTTATGCATCTCATGTTCAATCGCTATAACACTATTTTGCCATACATCCTATACTTAGGTTTTCTTTCTATTTCAAACTTTGCTGGGTAAATTCAAATGTTGTACATTAAAATAATAAAATTATAGAAATAACAAATTAATTTAATTAGAGGGCATGTTGCAAGTCCGCACGAAAAATTATACATTCCAGTTTGTATACTTGTCAAACTGTCGTATATCAATAGTAGTGACGTCTGTTGGCTCTCGGAAGCTGCTTAAAATTAGATAGGATGTCTGCTTTACATAGTGCCTAACTTAGCCAATTAATACTAAAAAATAATATATTTAATAGGAATTAAAACAATTTAATCATTGTGATGTAAAAATCAATTTTTTAGTTAAATTAAAATAGTATAGTCAAATGCGCGAAGATTTGATGCAATTTTTAAAGTCATTTCAACAATTAATTTTAGTCGCGTTCCATTGATTGTTTTCGTCATAGGTACTCAAGATAAGAGAACAGAGGTAAATCTAAAATGGACGAAACCGATTGTTTTAATGAGCATTACCATATCGTCACTATAAGTTGTGAACAATTAAAAAAAATTGCTTAATTAATTAAAATAACATGCGTATACGCAATTATGTATATAATGCGTTATATGCTATTAATGAAGCAGTAAAAATACTTGGAACTTGAATTTGTATATTAGAAGTTTAAGTTGGGAATACGCGAGCGCATTAATCCCGCGAGATAGCATTTAAAATATAAAGTGACTGCCTACCTCCCTTAATAAATAAAAAGAATGTATTTAAAACTAAAAACAACACGCTGTATTAACACATCGTACTAAAATGGTATTTTTTCCCACTGGTCATCAACATGTTAGGAGAAATTAATAAAATTGTTGTATTATCATCGGTCCTTGTTAAATCTTGAATATTGGCAAAGATTACGTTGAAAGTACTGTTTTATTGACAGAACAGGTCAAGCTAATAACAGCGTGTTAAAAATTGTATAGCCTAGCTCGCGCAAACCTGCACAAATATTTTTGACATAAACAGAAATCTGTTTCCGCATTCATTCTATCACTACACGTATACAGATTACTTCTTAAGCAATTCTATCAACACATCTTTGGTCTTCAAACGCGATCATCTTCCCGCAGACAATAAACATGATAAAGTATCTCCTCTATAATTTCAATTTCTAAGTTTCCAACCTCCATCTAACATACATCATGAGACGTCAGTGGTTGACAGCTCAGGGTTGAGCACGCGACCGGCATGCATTGAACTGCGAGTTTGAGTTATGACCGGGGCACGTGACCCGGTAACTGTGTGCGAGATGAATCGACTATAAGAATGGGGAAGTATGGCATAAATGTAATTAGAAATGTTTAGATTCAATCGTATTATTTAAGTAATATTTTTATGAATATATATTATTTGAATAAATTAAGCGAAAAGTATAAGGTATGCTGACCTTATAAATGAGTTAGATTTTTATTATTATTTAAAATTCTATCTAATATTCAGAAGAAGTAGTTAATTGTATTTATTTATTTAGGTCAAGTTTATCAATAGCTGATGTCCTGGTAAAGCTGGAAAAACCTTTCTTCGGGCCACAATCCTTCATTTAAAAAAAAGACAATAGCTGATAATATCTTAGGTATAGACACATTTTGAAATTGTTCTACATAATATGGGTTCTAATATTGTACTATATTTATTTTGATGCGACGCCCAAACAATTGAGTTACATTCGAAGGGACATCTTAACCAGGGCAAATCCTAACGAACGAATACACATACACGTCAAAATTGAAAATAATTTTGTGACACGTGTATGGTTATTTTCAAGACTAATGTGCAACTTTGAGAAATCGTCGGTATTTGAAAAAAATCATTAGTTCTACAGTTTTTAATCTGGCAAGACCATTGATTTCCAAGATGTCTCAAGATTGCAACACTGAACGTAAATGTCACATAATTTTGACAATAAATTGTTTAGAGTGTAAACCTAATAGTAAATTTGATTTCGATGCTTATTAATTTGAAATTTAAAACAAAACAAAAAAGAATCTTAATTCGTACGTGTCTAAATAAAAATCGAAAAACACGGAAAAAAAAACAACAAGATACGAAAAGTTTGCCATACAATAAATAAGCTATAATATGTATATTTTAATTAGACTTTTTATTCATTAGCAACAAAAAAATTTATAGGTAAATAATATTCAATTGAGACACATGTTAATATCAGTTTTGTTTAACACTATGCCGTCTTCATCCATCAATACCATCATATAAACAAACATACATACAAATTCTATTATATTTTGATAACCAAAATTGGTTCATTATATAATTATTTTACTCTTTATGTACTCGTTATCTTTTATACACTACACTATCCAGCAACGAATACCAACAAATATTGTAGTACAATTATGATTTATACATATACAGTCAAACCTGGATAAGCGAGAGTTCAAGGGAGCACAATCTCATTCTCGCTTATAGAGGTTTCTCACTAACCCGAGTTTCTCGGCAATGCTCATAATGAATTTCATTTCGCGATTTTCCGGATTCAAACGCATTCACTATTTTATCACTTAATGACAGTACTTTAATTTTCCGTTTCGACATGATGCAGAACAGAACTTTCTTTCGCAATTGATTAACGATAAACTGAGTAAGGCCGACAAACAGGATGGTACACAGGCACACGTGTCCATTCGAAAATAATGCGATAAAATAACAACGTTATTTAGTTCCACGAAATAGAATAGGTTCAATGTTGACGAGAAAACAATACAAAAACAATGGTAGGAAGTTCCCCGAAAGTTAAGAATGAGTCATAAAATAGCAGATGTTAAATTTGTAGTTTGTTTTGTCATTTGTTCCTCCTAAATAATATAAATAAATAAAGCTCGACTGTCGCTTATAGAGGTATAGATAAGTAGCAGTCTCACTTACGGAGGTCCATGAGGGAGAAACGACTCTCTCTTAGAGAGGTTTCTGTTTCNATAAAGCTCGACTGTCGCTTATAGAGGTATAGATAAGTAGCAGTCTCACTTACGGAGGTCCATGAGGGAGAAACGACTCTCTCTTAGAGAGGTTTCTGTTTCTCGCTAATAGAGGTTTTGGGAGCTTAAAATGACGGGTCCTGGCTATTACTCTCACTTATAGAGTTTTCTCACTTATCCAGTTCTCGCTTATCCAGGTTTGACTGTATGTCATAATAAAATAAGCGTTTCCAAATCATTCATCCGATTGTGATGAAACTTGGTGCAGTTGTCGTTGGAGCTTCAGGGAAGATTCAGTCATAGTACCATCAAAGTACAATAGGAAGCGCGAGTGCCGTTTAAAAAAAAAAACAGGTTATTCATACAATTATTAATAGTCGCAAGGGAGCGTGACCGGATTTCGCTAGTAGATAATATATTATGTAACATATTGTTGATATATAATAACGCTGCATGTTTCACAAATAATTAAGTTAGTAATCGTTGGCGGAAAAAACCAAACATGACGAATAATATGTATCGCGTGTGATTATAATTATAAGTGAGATTGTATATATTTTGCACTCATAATTACAGAGAAGCTTGTTTATTAGGGTTATTTAATTTATTACTCTTGTACTGTGTGATTGTGAACAGCAATGAGCCATTTTAGTAATACATAATACTTTAAAATGCCTTTTAAATGTCGCGGTGGGGATAATTTTCTAATACTGAAAAAGGACGCAGAGAATAATCAGTGACGTCACTGCGTTGTTGGTCTATGCGTGCGAGGAAGATAGCTGTTACATTTCACAATTGAAGATATGGGTGGATGAAGGGGATATGATACAATCTGTTAATTTTGAGAAAACGAGCATCAAACTTTTGTTACTTGTACTTTTTCGTAAATAGTTCCTTCATCACATGCAATTTCTAAATTAGCCTAATAATAATAGCCTTTAAGCCCGGCGTTTTAAGGTCTAATATGGCTTATAAGCACATAACGCGTTCATTCAATGTAAAAACTAAAAAATCTTAAAAATTATACTTAACCCCTTGATCTACTCATGTCTTCAATTATAATCTAATATATAAAATTCTCGTGTCACAGTTTTCGTTGCCATACTCCTCCGAAACGGCTTGACTGATTTTGATGAAATTTTTTGTGCTTATCCGGTATCTATGAGAATCGGCCAACATCTATTTTTCATCCCCCTAAATGTTAGGGGTAGTCCACCCCTAAATATTTTTTTTAAATTTTTAGACAAAATTTTTAATTTCTCTTTTTTTATGATACAACATACAAAAATACATACAATCCTCAATTTTCACCCTTCTACGATCAACCCTTATTTTTTAATAGCCATTTTAGTAATTTAATCATAGTTCCTCTCCGGTCGAAAACTGATCAATCGTCATTTAATTAGTTATCCGCGCCAGATGTCNGACACCTGTAGACATCTGGCGCGGATAACTAATTAAATGACGATTGATCAGTTTTCGACCGGAGAGGAACTATGATTAAATTACTAAAATGGCTATTAAAAAATAAGGGTTGATCGTAGAAGGGTGAAAATTGAGGATTGTATGTATTTTTGTATGTTGTATCATAAAAAAAGAGAAATTAAAAATTTTGTCTAAAAATTTAAAAAAAAAATTTAGGGGTGGACTACCCCTAACATTTAGGGGGATGAAAAATAGATGTTGGCCGATTCTCATAGATACCGGATAAGCACAAAAAATTTCATCAAAATCAGTCAAGCCGTTTCGGAGGAGTATGGCAACGAAAACTGTGACACGAGAATTTTATATATTAGATTACTTTTAATAAATTAAAACAATTAATGTTCGGTGTTTTGTTATTTTTAAACAACATTCCCTCATCGTTCACAGCGCTCCAGGCCTTTTTCACTCATATTCCACATCCTTATACACTTCCAATAAGTTAGTAATTTTTATTCTACACTAGAAATTCTCTAGAAATCTTATATATG